TCTGGAGGTCTTTGAGCTTCAAAAGGAAAAAAATTACATCTACTTGACACCATTCTTTGGTTTCCTTTGTAATCCTATGTATTGTACTTTATGCACTTAAAACCATCGGGAAAGGGACTTCACCAGATTGCCAAAGGGCTCCATTACCCTATGTTTGACCCAACATAGGCATAAAACAGAATGCTATTTTTACTTACACTTCACAGAGTCTGCCCTCTTCCAACTGTATCATGGTTTCCTGACTCCTCTGAATAACAATTTACAATGATTATTGTCTCATTTTATCCTCACAGCCACTGGGAAGGTAGGTGCTATTGTTATCTCCATTTTACAGATAAGGAAATTGAGGCAGAGAGAGGTTAAATGACTTGCCCAAGTTAATAGCCAGTAAGTGTCTGAGGAAAGATTGAAATTCAAGTCTTTCTGACTCTAAATCCAGTGCTCTACACACTACATCACCTAGTTGCCTAACAAAAATGAAATAAAAACTGTAATTAAAATGAGTGAGTATGGACTCAATGAAAAGAGGTGGAATACTCTGAGTGTTAAACATTACATATGTTGTCATATGTTGTTGTTTTGGGTCAGTCTTGGTTAATTGCTTCTTTTTTTTGTTCTTTGCAATCAATCAATCAGCAAGCATTTAATAAGTACCTGCTCTGTGCCAGGCACTACCTAAGTGCTAGAGACACACAAGTGTCCTAGTAAGCATCTCATTTTCTTGATAAATGGAGAAAAATGACTGCCAAATGCAACGCTGGGTTAGAATATAAAATTTTGTCAAATAAAACACCCCATATATTGAAATTAAGATGTATTTTTCCCCTTCCAAGTTCACAGACTAATATCCTGCTTCCCCCAACCCCCCCGGCCAGCTATCCACAAACACCAAGACAAACACTAAGACACCAAAACTGTGTGTCTTAGATTAAGGAACTGAGGCCAGATGATTTCTAAGGTCCCTTCTATCTTTGACATTCTGTAATTCTATGACCTTATAGTGTTTAACAAATTATGATCCCTCTGGAACTATCTTTGATCTTCCTTGAGATATGAAGAAAGGGGCTACAAAAAGGGGAAGATGAAGTTAGGCACAATAATATTTCCTTACAGCTGATGAAAGAGCCTTTTAAAAAGCAAAATCATGAGAGCATTTAGTTAGACAATAAGAGCTAGCTTGGTGTCTGGGAGGTTCCAAAGGAAAGTGTGGGAGAGAGGAGAGATTAGACTGCCTACCAAACTGAAGGTCAATAGAACCATTATGCTGACCTCATTGTTATATGTCTGTGAAACCTGGACAGTACACCACCACCATGTCAGGGAACTGAATGACTTCCATTTGAATTGTCTTACAAAGATTCTGAAGATTACATGACAAAATAAGGTACTGGATACTGAGGTCCTTTCTCAAGTTAAACTGCCTAGCATTCAAACTCTACTGAAGAGAGCTCAACTTTGATGGGCTGGCCACATTATTCAAATGCCCAATGACTATTTTATGGAGAACTCATGCAAGGAAGACACTCACATGGAGAACAGAAAAAGTGATACTGGGACACTCTCAAGATCTCTCTGAAGAATTCTGGAATTGAATGGGTAACATGGGAGATACCAGCAAAGGACCGCCTAGCATGGCATGCCCACATCAAAGAAGGCACTATGAGTAAAGCAGAATTGCAGCACCTCAAAAGAAACATGAGGTGCAGAAATTTGGAGAATCCACCTCAGATGTTCACATGGACTATTTGTGCCTGACCTGTGATAGAGCATCCCAAGCTCATATTGGTCTGATCAGTCATAGTCAGACACACTGTAACCTGACCCTAACATAGTGATGTCATTTTGGTCCTCTTCGAGAATGAAAGACAACAACCAATCCTATCCTGTCCATTTACCAGTTAATTTTAAATTTTTATTTAAATTTCCAAATTATTTCCTCCCTCTTCTTCCTCCATCCATGAAGAAGGCAAGAAAAACAAAATCTATGTATAGTCACACAAAACTAATTTCTTCATTGCCCATATCAAAAAAAAGAAAGAAAGAAAGAAAGAAAGAAAGAAAGAAAGAAAGAAAGAAAGAGAAGAAAATATGCTTCAATGTTTACTCTAAGTCCATTGGCTCTATCTCTGGAGGTGGATAACTGTGGCCATTCACCAGCTGATATTAAGCAGAAAGTTATAAAATATGGCAGGCAAACAATGATTTGGAGGCAGTGATGTGGACTCGATTTGGGAAGCCCAGGAGATAAAATGACCTGAGAATGCCAACAAAAGCTGACCGGCAGAGGAAATAGTCAAGACTTGATAGCCGCTTCTCACAACAGAAGGGCTGGCCACAGTCTCCCCTTTTGCCAGTATAACTTTTTTGCTTGCAGGGTTGTAGACATAGGGAAAGACGGATCCAAAGCCATCCATAGAGTAGAGCAAATCAGGACAATTACGCCTGAAATTTCTATTTTCAGGGATTTGTGCTTTTGAAAGCTGATGTAGAGACTGATGAGGTAGGGCTTGTGCAGAAAAAAGCAATAGCTCTTTCAGGGGGTGCTTAAAAATACAAAATACAAAGGAGAAGGCCTCATATGCATATAATCAATAAATCTATACCTATCCCAATCCTGCAAGTATCGCCCAAGCATTACCAAATAAAATTTTTCCTTTCTCTGGTTCCACCCAAAGGTAATAGCCTTTTTGAATAATTTGCATAGTAGACCAAGTAGAGTATAACTCCTTCAGGTAGGTGACATCTCAGTGTATATTTTTTAAAATAGCATTTTATTTTTTCCAATTACATGTAAAGATAGTTTTCAACATTCATTTTTTATAAAATTGTGATTTCCAAATTTTTTCCCTTCCTCTCTCCCTCCCTCCTCCCCAAGACAGCAAGCAATCTGATATAGGTTATACATATGCAATCATGCAAACATATTTCCACATTAGTCATGTTGTGAAAGAATAAACAGAACAAAAGGGAAAAGCCATGAAAAAAAAGGGAAAATAGTATGCTTTGATCTGCATTCAGACTCCACAGTTCTTTCTCTTGATATGGATAGCATTTTTCATCATAAGTCTTTCGGAATTGTCTTAGATCATTGTATTGCTGAGAAGAGTTAAGTCAGTCATAGTCGATCATCACACAATGTTGCTGTCACTGTTTACAATGTTCTCCTGGTTCTGCTCACTTCATTCAGTATAAGTTCATGTAAGTCTTTCAGGTTTTCCTGAAATCTGCCTGTTCATCATTTGTAATAGCACAATAGTATTCCATTACGTTCATATACCACAACTTGTTCAGCCATTCCCCAATTGATAGGCATTCCCTCAATTTCCAGTTTTTTGCCACCACAAACACAGCTGCTATAAATATTTTTGTACATGTGAGTCCTTTTCCCATTTTTATGATCTCTTTGAGATACAGACCTAGAAGTGGTATTGCTGGGGCAAAGGGTTATGCACAGTTTTATAGCCCTTTGGGCATAGTTCCAAAATTGCTCTCCAGAATGGTTGGATCAGTTCACAACTCCACCAACAATGCATTAGTGTCCCAATTTTCCCACATCTTCTCCAACATGTATCATTTTCCTTTTCTGTCATATTAGCCAATCTTATGTGTGAGAGTCATTTTAATTTCCACTTCTCTAGTCAATAGTGATTTAGAGCATGTTTGCATATAACTATAGATAACTTTAATTTCATCTGAAAACTGCCTGTTAATATCCTTTGACCATTTTTCAATTGGGGAATGACTTGTATTCTTATAAATTTGACTCACTTCTCTAAATATTTGAGAAATAAGGCCTTTATAAGAAACTCAGTGTTGTATTTTAATCCCAAACATCTAGCCCAGTGTATAACACATATTAGGAAACGCAAAATAAACCACTTTCTTCATACAGGATTTTTTTCATAGTTTTTTTACATTAAAATTCACAAGCTAGAGGAAATTACTTCTTCAAGGATCAAAGTGACTTATATCAAGTAGTGAACAGAAAAATTCTTATATGGGAAAGTACAGAACATTTGTTGGTTCCAGACATTCCAACAATGTCTGGCCTCCTGTCATAAAACACAGTTACTGAGAAATGGCATGAAGTTAAGAATTACCTAATGGTCACTTTGATCTGACTTTAATGGATAGAAAATATCTTCTTAGTCACAGGACTCCCCAACTGGTGAGAAAGGGTAGAAAAAGTGAGAGTTCTGAGAAACATACTTCTAGAAAAAGGGAAAGGGCAATTTTTAGATGGAAATAGTTAAGCTGGCTTCTACAGAACTAAAAAAAAATGCTTGTTGATTGGATATGAAGTGACTATTTCACTTCTGTGGCAAGAAAGACGACTCATTGGTTGGAGTAGGGGAAGAAAGATGCTATGGGAGGGACCTTACCCAGGCAGTCTCCTGGTAATTTATGTTTCAATTTGGAAGGCAATGATGCATTCAGAGGTAGTCATTGAATAATTAAAAAACGGAGATTTATTTAGCCATAGCAGTAGAATATTCAACAAAGGCAAGCACTAAGGACATCCCGAGCTCATTCAAGATAAACAAAGCTCCCAATTTGCTCATTGTAGCCTATTGGCCAAATGTCAGAGTAAGGCTGGAGCTCCTCCTAGCAATTTTTGGACTCAGAAAACCAAGAAGTTATCAATAGCCTGAGTCATTAGATCAAGTCTCAAAACTGATTAGAGAAAAACAAGCATAATTTGCATGGGGTTGGGAATGAGGATCCTGTGACACCATAGATGGTACAGTTAGAGAGGGAAAGAAGGAAACGTATACTAGTAGAATTGAGGAGGGGAGTGTTAAGAGATATTACTATGAAAGTAAGTCATATAACCCAGCCAGATTCTGCTTCTTATGGCAACAGATTTGAAAGGTTAACACAAAGAGGATTTTGACCCAAATCATGCAATATATTACATTTGGGAAATGTGTATTTCAGATCAAGAAAACATGCATTTTTTAAACTCCTCTAAAGGCATCATTTACAACAGAGCATAGTAATTAAGGACAGTCAGAATCTCTACACGGTGTCGCATCATGGGCTCTGCTACAAATTCCAAAAAAGGTTAAAAACACTGGAATGAAGATGAGGCCATGAGCAGCCCCAAACAAGATAACCAGAAACATAATCTTGAAAGAGGTCCTGAAGATGTAAGCATTTGCCGCAGCCAAGACAACCACCCCTATTATGGTAGAAGTGGCACCTTGCACCACTGGGTAGCCCAGAAGATTCAATGCCTCAATTGCTTTTTGGTTTACATCCATACTTTCACTGGAAACAAATGCATAGGAAATATGAGCTGAAAAGTCTACTGAAAACCCAATACAAATGATAAGGTTGATCATGGATATGGAATCAAGATTGACATCCCAATATGACATGAAACCTGCCACACCCACAATCACAGATGAAATAGCAAACGTCACCCACAAAGAACATAGTGGATTGGGAATGAATAATAAGGAAATGATCAACACGGCGGCAGCGGCAACAACCACATTTTGAATCGTGTTGTCTATGATCACAGAATACTGATCGTAATAGATAAATGATGGGTGATACACAGTAAGGGGAATGTCACACTGTGCAGCAGTACTTCTTAGTTGGTTTAACATCATCTTTTCTTTTACTGCAGTACTGACATTTATTGACTGAATGAAGGATCGTGAAGACAATATTTCTTTTGCAGTTTCATTAACTTGAACATCCCCTTTATACTCTGGAATGAGTTTTAAAAATTGGCTTAAGTCTCTGACAAAAATAGTCCTATTATTTATATTTTGGTGTATACCTTTTAAATAGTTCTCATATGTCCTTAACCAAGAATCTGAGAAAGTTTCACTCACAAATTGATTGCTTTCTAAGTCTTTTATACAAGTGTCCAAATTGTTCCGAGTGATTTCATCCCAATATGGTACAGATTTAGTGATAAAAACCATGATCCTGGGACCAAATTCTGAAAAATATTTCTTTTCCATAGAATAATAAGGAATGACATAGGAGTTATCAGTGGCCAGGTTTCGAAGGTCTATACCTTCTTGGATTTGGAAACACCCATAGATGCTAGCAGCCAGGTAGCCAGCATACAGCAGCACCACAAACAACTTAGACCAGATGTTGGTAAGCAAGGGGCCATAATACTTCCTAAAGAATGTATTCATTGCATGGATTTCTTCTTTACCATTTGGTGAGACATAAAGGCCTTTTCTACAGAGGATCTTTTTTGCAGCTGAACATCTGCCCTGTTCCTGTTGAAAGACAAATTGACTCAGATAGACTTCGACTTTACCATTAAGGGCAAGAAATGCTCCAAAACAGGTAATGTTATATAAAAAGCAAAAAAGAAGGGTTGTTCCTGTATAGATACAAAAGGACTGTACAGATTTGAAAGAGGTCATTATCCCAATATAGAAGGCAAGGACATCAGTCAACGTGGTGACTGTAATGGACACAGCTGCCTCTGCATAGGTGTCAGCCAGCCTCTCTTCGATGTTATGTATGAGTTTGGTCTGCTGCCAGGCAGAAACCATGATGAAGATGTCATCAACACCAACTCCTATAAAATAGGGGGAAAGAACTGCAGTTTATAATAGTTCGTTCAAAATTAAACAGATTGATCCAAATTTTTTATTTATTTAATAATGACAATCTGTACTATTCTCTCTTATTTTCAGAAGTGAGGACTGTATATTTGTACATTACACATACTGTCAGACTTGGTTGATTTCCTGGTTAGTTGTACTAACGTGCTTTTTGCTCTTCCTTTTTCATTCCTTGTAATAAAGACTGCCTCTCTGGGTAGGGCAAGGGGAAAAGATATTCTTGGAAATTAAAGTAATGTAAAAAAAGATATGAATACAATTTTAAAAATAAATCTATTTTTTAAAACAATGACAAGATATACCCTTTATGACAAGTTGAATTGGAATTCTACAATTTAACCTGATACCATCATAACATCCTGAAAAATATGACCTTGGCTCCTACATTCCTATGTCAGCCTCCTCAAAGGTGCTTGAGTTACAACCCTGAAATCTCATAAACAGACAGTAAAACATGATTGTCTAGGCCACTTGGAAGATGGGTTTGAGATACTACTAGTCCCCTGAGTCTCTTAAACTTAGAAGGTGATTAATCCACATTGTGAGTTCCATCAAACCATGAAAATGTACCAAAATATTTTGCCATGAGGCTCCAACCTCCAAAGGCACACCAGGACCAATAACAGAGTAGCTCACAACCCTGCTGTAGGATCTGATATATTTGTATTAAGGGACCTCACCTAGCTGTGATGTATGGCCAAAACAGAATCATTGAAATTCAGTTAGAAGGAATGCTAAATTAATCTAGTCCAACCTGTCCTGGTAGCAAAATTTCTTTATAACATTTCCAAGTCATCCAGGCATCATTTGAAGATCTAAAGTAAGGAAAAACTACCTCTGGAAGCAGATAATTCCACTTGTAGATTACTTTAATCATTAGGAAGTTTCTCATTGTACCAAAACTATAGTTTCCAACCACTTTCTAATTCTACCAGCTGGGATCACATGACTCCTTCACATGACTGCCCTTAAAATGTTTTGAGACACCTTTAAGTCTTCTCTTCTCCAAGCTAAATGGCCCTGTTCCCTTGTCTGTTAGATAAGCAGGAAAACATATGTCTATTGTACTAAACATATATAGGAGAATTATAATACTTGAATGCTTAAAATAAATTGATTACATAACAGAAAATCTGTCTGTTTGACTAAATTTCTAATGGGCCTTATACAGATACAAAAAAGAACTTCCTTTCTTTGATGTAATTGGGCAAACTAGAAATGTCCTTTGCCTTGAAATCTTTCCTTTATTGGACAATGCCTGGAAACATTATGGTAGATTGGAAGAAACTCATGTAGCCAGGTATGGGCACTTTCCTTCTGCCAGAGAAACAAAGTTCTGCTACAAGAAGAAAAACCAAAAAAAAGTATGTGGAAAGAGTAGAAGGGAATCCTAACCTTTGACAGGGGATTAAAAGTGAGGAAATACGACACAAAGAAGGAATGTATGAAAAAAAATGGAAGCTTTGGAACATAAAGGTGTGATACTCTTCCCAAAGAAGCAAGGTTCTTGCCCTGTGGTCCATGGACACCCAAGGGGTCCATGGATTGATTTCAGGAGGCCTATGAAGTTGGATGAGAATAATTGCATCTTTATTTTTACTAACCTCTAACTGAAATTTAGCATTTCCTTCCATTATGAATGTAGGCAATAAACACATTCTGAGACAGAGCTTCATAGGCTTCACTAAACTGCCAAAGGGAATCTTGACATAAGAAAAGCTTAAGAATTCCTGCCATAGATGGTGGAATTGGACACTAGAAGGAGAAAAAAGTCTCTCATGTTTTAACTAATCGTAATGAGGACTCAAAGAAGAGAGGTCATTCAGCACTGATCAAATGAAAAAGAGACAAGTAATGCTGATGGCTATTTCACCACTGACAGTCAGTGAGTCAAAGGTCAAATTGACATGAATAGAGAGTTCTATTGTCTTTTTGGGTCTAATATCCAGGGTGTGACAGCTAGCCTCCTGAGATTTGTCAAAACCTGATAATCATTCTCTATTTCTGGAAATTCACGTAGAGACAAAGGACTCAAAAAGAGCAGCAAGGAGTGAAGCCTGGCCCTAGCTCAAAGCTTCAATTCAATCCTGGAAATATGAGTAAAACAAAGAAGACATCAACCAACATGGGAAGGGAAAGGAAGGGAAGGAAAGGGGAAAGGCCAAAATGTAACAGGATGCTTTAGAATGCCTCTTTGGAGAACGGCTAAATAAATGGTGGTATGTCAATGTAATGGAATAGATGAAAAAAGCAACATCTGTTTATGTTCATCTGACACTTGAATATGTATATATTCATCATTAAAATGTCAAAAGAGACTATTTCAAAGAATCTTGGTAGTATGAACTGACTCAGAGTGAAGTTAATAAAACCTAAAAAACACTTTATACAAGAAACACAACATTGCAAAGAAAAATATCTTTGAAAATTTTAAGAACTCTGAACAACTACATCTCCAAAGGACTTATGATGAAGTATATGACCTACCCCCTGACAGACAAGTGAAAACGAGACATTTGTTTTACTTGACTATGCTTATTTGTTACAAATCTTTTTTTTTCTTTATTTCTCTTAGTTTTCATTTGGGATAGGGGAATCAAAATAAGGAGGGTTTGCAAAAGTAAAGACAAAAAAATAAGGGCATTATAATACTTTAAATGCACAGAAGAGAGAGAAGGAAGTTCAGAATGAAACATATACAAGCAAGAAAATTTTGAAAGTAACATGTAGACCTTATGATTATACTCCTATGATCATACAAAAAAAAGCAATATGAAAGAGATTCATAGTAACACATAGAGTCTGCTTTTGTGTTATATGTGTTATGAAATGTTCTTGGGGAGGGGTTGCCCATTGACTGGACAAAAACCAAACAAATTGTCATACTTGAATGTATTGGAATATTACTACACACTAAAAAATGATAAATTAAAAGCATCCAGAGAAGAACTGGAAGATTTACATGAACTGATGCAGAGTTAAATAAGAAAACAATACACACCTTGGACTACAGCAAGAGAAGCAGAAATAAAAGCAACAAGAAAAAAGAATTTCACAAAGCAATATCGAAAGATGTATGATTATAATGATGAAACATGGCCACCACAGAGAAGAGATGAACAAATGACCTCCTTCTTTTCTTTGCAGAGGGACTAAAAATGTGGAATATTGCTATCATATTATTGTCACTCAATTGATATGTTGATTAGTTTTGCTAAATTGCTTTTTTCCATTCTTTTTTAATTTTTGTTATAAGAGCTGACTCAGAAGGGGTCAGGGATGGATAGATTTTAAAATGAATGTGATATAACAACAAGAGATGTCAATTAAAAACATTTTTAAATGCAAGAGAGAGAAACCTGCTGATGTACATGGGTCTAACCAGATACACAAGGAAAAATACCCATAGTGGATCCAATGTGGATAAAATATGATGGGAGACAGTATCCAAAAAGAAAGGCAATAATAAACCACATGGCCTCAACTAACTATTACCAAGTTCTGAAGTCTAGATAAAAAAGCAGGAGGAGGGCAAGGAGGCAATAAGAGATACTAGTAGGTACTTGAGAGTTAGTAGGATGTAACATAACTGAATTGTGACTATGGAATGGCATATATTATTCAAAATGAATCAATGGAAGGATTGGTGGAATATTATTGCATAATAAGATCTGCTCAGGGAAATCCATGTTTGGAGTGGTGAAATGAGGCAGAGAGAGGATTTGTGTGTGGATCAATAGGTGGAGAGTCAGAAGGGATATTGAGGTGGAATTATTCAACAAACCACCCAAACAGAAGGAAATGGATAGTGAGTCAAGGCAATATCACAAAGGAGTCAGGAAAAATGATATCATAATGCTAACTGGGCATCTGATAGAAATCTTACTGTCAAAAGCAGGACAACTAATAAATTTCTGACTTGCACTAATGATAGCTTCATTCTTTTAAAGATGGAGAAAGTGATGAGGAAATTTGCTGTTTTGGACCTGAATCAGACCAGCAACCAGTCCTTCTTTACTGACATAGAAATGATAAGAATATTTCCAGGAAGTAACAACACCATTTTAGTCAGGGAAGCAGGTGATAAATATTTATTAAGTGCTTACTAAGTGCCGGGCAATTGGCTGAGTGATACAGATACAACGAAATACAAAAGACAGACCTTGCTCTCAAGTTGCTCACAGTCTAATGGAAAAGGAAACATGCAAAGAACTATGTGCAAACAAGACATATACAAGATAAATCAGAGCTAACCAATAGAGGGGAAGCATCAGAATCAAGGTAGTTTGTGAAGCAGGGAAGAGATATGACCTTTCATTCCTATTTTTGCCAAGTGGTTTCAGAGTCTAGTGGCTATTGGAAGATGGTGGTAACAGTAGACAGGGTTTTGGCAATGCTGGCCCAGGAACTTTAAAAAAAAAGCTTTATTGATGGGTTTGTTTTTACATAACAAACATTTACAGATCATCTGCCCTTCCTGAGATCTCTCGTGTAACAAAATAGAACTAAGCAAAACTAACAATACAGTGACCTCATCTAAAAAAGCACGTACCATTCCACGTTTGTAGTGCGCCCTACCCCTACTTCTCTGTTTTTAATAAATTATTTTAATTAATAGAAATATACCGTATATCCCTGCCACTCCAATCCCAATAGGGGAAGAAAGAGAATAAAAATAAATTCCTTGCAAAAAAAGGCATCCAGAAGAACATTGAGGGTGTAGTTCACTATGGCGTGGAGAATGAGCCCCTATTCTCTTATACTCCCCTTCAGAGTAGTCAGCAGAAAGAATATCTACGGTAAGCTGAAGCAATGTCACAAGACATCCACCCTGACCCCTGCCTCCGCAACCTGACAAATATTTCTGTGGGGAGATGGTCATCACACCATATTCCCTAATCATCAATTTGACAATGATGGCATCTAAATGGATAAAGCATTGAACTTGAAGTCAGGAAGACCTGAGTTCAAATATGATCTCAGCCAACTATTAGCTATATGACCCTGGGTAAGTCATTTAACCTGTTTGTCTCAGTTTCCTCATCTATAAAATGGAGATAATGATAGCACTTACCTGTTGTGAGAATCAAATGACTCAATAATTGTAAGGTGCTTAGCACAGTGCCTGGCACACAGTAGGCGCTATAGAAATGTTTGTTATTGTTATTAACTTCCTTTGCCTCACTTTCTTAATCTGTAATCATGGGGGTAATAATAGCACCTACTTTCATAGGGTTCTAGTGAGCATTAAATAAATGCATCTTGGAAAAACTTAAAGTACTTTATAAATATTAGCTATTATCATCATCATCATCACACCTGTATTCTCCCATCTGGGTATTACAATGAGTAAATAAAACTTGGACTTCTACTATTCAAGCACTGGGGACTATGGCAACTACTTAAGCATCATGCTTTTTATGTGTAGAACATATAATTACATGGGACCATAAGTTCATATCCTTTACTTGTATCAAAGGATAAAAATATACCAATCTCTTATCACTCTGCTTGTGATAGCTATGGTTTAAATAAATAACCTTCTTTAAAAAGGAGAATGGAATGAAAGATAGTTATAGTATGATACATACCATAGATTTTGAAGGACCCTCTCCCCACCAGACTTCTAAGGGCTCAGAGAAATAATAGCTAACCTCCAATAGACAAAAATTCTACAGGAAGAGTCAGTCAGCTCAGGAGAGATGGAAAGCTGTCAAGAATGAAATTCTGAAGATACTTTTTGGTGTCCTCAAGGAAAGAAAGGGGAAAGGGCGCAGCTAAGCAACACAGTAGATAGAGCACCAGCCCTGAAGTCAAGAGGACCTGAGTTCAAATCCGGCCTCAGACCAAACACTTGACATTAATAGCTGTGTAACCCTGGGCAAGTCCCTTAACCCCAACTGCCTAAAAAAAAAGGAAAGAAAGGGGAAGTAGTCTAAAGATTCCAATGTGTACATACAAGAAACTCATAAACCAACATAGATTTTTAAAAGACATGCACAGAAAAAAAGGCAAAGACAGATCATAGACCATAAATACAAAATGACATCATCTTATAAGGAACACTAAAAGTTAGAGTGAGCAAGGCTGTGAAGGAAAAAAAAAGACAACCAAAGGGGAGAATTTTTTAAAAACCTATATCAAGGGAAATGAGGAAGATGAAAGACTGGACATGAAAAGCTAGCCAAGGCTAGATGACTGCATTGATAGGATGGATGAGTACACAGTAAGGAAGAGAAGCAAGGCTGAACTCCAATCTTATTTTGTTTCAATAATCCTTGGGCTGGAAAGGACAGAACAAAAATAAGTAAGAAGGTCTTGAAACCCAAGATAAAAAGAAAGATTGTAAAAGATCACCTACCTGTCTTTGCTAAGTTAGCTTCTTTAGGCCAACATTAACTAAATTCCAAGAATTGGCAGCTGTGATTGCCACGCTCCTACCACTGATCTTTACAAGAACATGGAGTAAAGGAGAGGCACCTCAAGATAGGAGTAAGGCAAGTGTTGGCCCAATATTCACCAACAGAGAAAAAAGTAGAACTTTCAAAATATTAGGCAGCAAGCTTGACATTGATCCCTGGCTAAATTTAATGACATATTAAAGGGATTGTTAGTGAACATCTATATGATAATCACAAAAGGCCAGGATGTCTTCATCAGGAACAGCTTATGTCAGCCCTACCAAGAATAGACATAAAAGAACTTTTTTTCATTAAAAAGTAATAAAAGTATATCTAAAACTAAAAGTTAGTATTATATGCAATTGAGATACCCTAAAAGGCTTCTCAGTAAATACAGAAATAAAGCAAGAAAATCCTTTTCCCTTCTATTATTGGCCATAAACACAGAAATGCTAGCAATAGCAACAACTAACCAAATATTTCTTGAGTGCCTGCGATGTGCCAAGTATTGTGATAGGCACTTTGGATATAAAGGGAAAAAAATGAAACAGTCCTTGCTGTCAAGGAAGTTTACGTTCTATTGGGGAAGATAGCACAGTGAGTAGACCTGAATTTAAATTTGGTCTCAGACATTTACTAGCTGTGAGACCTTGGGTAAGTCAATAACCCCTGTTTGCCTCAGTTTCTTCATCTGTAAAATGGGGGCAATAATAGTACCAGCTTCCCAGGGTTGGTGTGCAGATAAATGAGATAATAATTGTAAAGCACTTAGCACAGTGCCTGGCATCTAGTAAGAGCTACACAAATGTTAGTTATTATTATCAATGATAACAATAAATACGAGATAAATGGGGGAGGATGGTTGAATTGACACCGAAGGAAATCAAGAAAGGTTTTATGTAGAAGACAACACTTAAGGAGAGTTTTGAAAGAAGATTCCAAGACTCAGAGGTAAGAAGGGAATGCATTCCATGTACGGAGGATGGCTAATGTAGAGTCCTCTATGTGGGGAAGGCTAGTTTAAGCTTACTATATCTTCAAAGTAAATATCCCTTTATATTAGTCAATTGATGTTAAATGGTTAAATGGAACTGGGGCACTAGTCACCAACACCTAAAAAAAAGGGGAACATAGTTGGTGCAGGTTTGAACCAATGGCATTAGATAAGAGTGATACCCCATAATACTTCAGGGTGCTCTATTATCTCAGAACCAGGCTAGTAACATCTTACTCTCAAGGTTCGAGGGTTAGCTGGGCCTCAGTTTTCTCATATGTAAAATGAGGGAGCTACGTTTCTTGACCTCTAAGGCTTCTTCTAGGTCTATATCTATGATAGATCCTAAGATGCTGCACTGTTTAAAGAACAGTCAAGGTGGCAGTCATAGGAACGTAAGATTATTGAATTTCTAAATCGCGTTGTTGAATATTTTTAAAAGACATTTCATTTTTGTAGGATATTGTTCTGAAATTTTCTTAAGACTGTATTTCTTGATTGATATACAAATAACTCTAAATCTATTCTGCTTGCCCTTTTCAATACCCAACCTCCCATCTCCTGACTTCATATGACTGCACAGGGTGACTCTCTCCCTCCATGTCAAAGAATGCCTAGCTTCCTTCAAGGCTCAGCTTAGTTGCCATGTTGCCTTTTCCAATCGTCAAGTTGTTAGTGCTCTCTCCTTCAAAATTACTTAACTATTTTGTATTGACTATTCATGTTATCCCTCCCAGTCCCCAGTAAAATACTAGCTCCTTGAGGACAGGGCCTGTTTCATTTCTGTCTTTGTAGCCCCAGTGCCAAGAACATTGAGATAGATGATAGATAGATAGATAGATAGATAGATAGATAGATAGATAGATAGATAGATAGATCAGTAGACAGAAAAATCAGTAGATAGACAAAAAGACAGACAGATATAGAGATAGATCAATAAATAGATGGATAGAATGGATAGATCAATAAACAGAGAGGAAGAGAGAGAGATCGGTAGACAGATAGATGATAGAGATAGAAATAGACATGTGAATATGCATACATAGCACTTCTCAATAAATGTTTATTGAATGAAGACAATTTAACAACATAAATAGTTTTGTGCCTTATTTGCGCTTTTATTGGTATGCCTATATGTACTGGTAAGAACAAAAAAAGAAATAATCTTGTATCATGTAGGCCTGGTGTACGAATTCAAGGGACATTCACCCAGGGAACCTAATGAACTTTTCCTTCCCAGATCTTTTAACTTAATTGAAATAGATTTATAATTCTATTACTCTTTTGCTTACCTAGAATAAGAAACACTGCATTGGCAACTGTGACAACAAATGGCACCCCACAATACAGCAAGAGGCCAAAGCTGCTCACCACTGCTAAACCAGCTGAAATGACTCCAAAGGCTGCCACCCACATTTTGCTGATTATGTGGTTCATCCTGAAAAATTTGAAGAGAAATATTACTGAGATAATGATCCATCTACTTAATTTCAGCTAATTCAAAAAAGTTTTCTTGGAAATCTGTAAGATACCACTAAACAGTGAATTTATTCAGAGCACTGACTTTAACTACACTTATTAACTTACAGAAGTCCCCACTTTGAAAAGACCAAACGTTCTGGTTCTTGAAGGTTAATGCCTCCCTCCACGTTGATCTACAGAGACATATACAAAAAGCAATGCAAGCCTCCTTTTTTTCTAGCTGTAGGCATAAACATAGTCCACATCTTTCAATAGAAAACTATTTAGGTTTATTTTGGGTCAATAAATGGCATAGGCATTCTCTGAAATCCTCTAGAGTATAAAATCCAGCATATTGAGCTAAATCACAGAAACATAGAATTTCAGAGTAGGGAGGGGCTCCATTAACCATCGAGTGCAACCCAATCCCCACGGTGATAATACCAGTCTTTGCTTGAAGATCACTTGTGTGGTCTATTCAAAATGTCTCCCACTAAATGCAACAGGTTTTGGACCATTGAGGAAGTGAATGAGGTTGTCAAGTGAGAGAAACAAAGATTGAGAACCTTGGAAAGTACCATACTTGTAAAGTATGGGAAAAGAGCTCATAAATCGGTGAAGGATTCAGGGAAGGCACAACTACAGAGGCAAAAGAAGAATCACAACAGCATGGTGTTTCTGGGGCCAAAGGAAAAGAATTTATGTGGTATGAGAGGGATGGTAAAGAGTAGAGAATTATTCAGAGAGATCAAGGAGGAAAAAATGGGGGAGGGGAATTCACTTGATCTATAACTAGATGTTTGGTGGCCTTAAAGAGAGGAATTTCAATAGAGTAATGGAAACTGAAGCCCAGGGTTGAGGAAAGAGCAGATACTGGGGAAGTGGAGGCAGAGTATAGACAACTTTTGTCTTGAAATTTAGCTGTGAAGGGGAAGAAGTGAAAGATTGGTAGTTGATTGGAATAAAGGGGTGAAAGAAAGTCCCTAAAAAAGAATTGGAGAGACCTACACATGTTCAAAGGCAAATAAGTAAGAGCCTATGGTGAGGGAAAGATTGATGGTGAATGAGAAAGAAAAGTCCCAGAAGAGGCATCAAGGAATGAGACCAAGGATATAGGTAGAAAGGACTGAGCTTTGGACTACACCCAGTTAGGAACATGGTGGTCTGAGATAAGCAAAAGACAGTAGGTAATATAGAGTTTTGATGGGATGTTGAGGGATGGCCTCAGTCTTCTCAGTGAAGTAGGAGGCTAGTTCAACTGCTATGTGGGGAGACAGTTGATTAGAATAGGTTGAGGAGGAGGTCTTATGGGAATGCCATTTGTACCAAAGGTAGTGAGACCAGATGACCAGACCCGAGGTACCAGTGCAGCTAGAGGAAGATTGGTGTAACAGGTACCACTGATGGAGAATTTACAGAATTAATCTGCCTCCAAATGCAAAACTGAATTTTCTGTGTTGACATTTAAAAGTCTCCAGGTTTCTTACCTACTTAGCCTTTGCTTCAAGGTTTCAGGCAGGGGCAAGGCAAAGCAGTGATGATCTCATGGGGAGCTTCCACATGGTTTCAATGTCATTCACATGCTCAGAACTGTCAATAGTTCTATATTCTCTAACAAATAAATTCTAAGCTGCTTGGTCAATCTCTAGCTCCTTCCCTGCTGCTTACAAACATACACAGGTTTCCCCATCCTTTAACAAAACAAAAAAAAAAAAACCCAACTTCTTAACCCTATTAATGATAACTCTTTCCTCCATTTCATAACCAAACTCCTAGAAAAAGGCTAATAGTAGCCAACATTTACATAACACTTTATTGTTTGCAAAGCACTTTATGTATCTGATCTCATTTGATCTGAAGACCAATCCTATGAAGTAGGTGTTGTCGTTATCCCATTGTATAGGTGCAGAAACTGAGGGAGACACAGGTTAAGTGACTTGCCTAGGAACATGCAGTTAGTATCTGAAGAAAGACTCAAACTCAGATCTTCTTGATTCTAAGTCCAGTGTTCTATCCCGTATGCCATCAAACTGTCTACAATCACTGCCCTCACTTTCTCTCAGCTCACCTAATTCTCAGTCCCTTCCAATCTGACTTCCAACCTCATTACTCAACTAAAACAGCTTGTCCCAAAGTTACCAATGATCTTTATCCAGTGGCCTTTTCTCAGCACTTATTCTTTTTAACCTTTCTGCCCCATCTGATACTACTGACCACCCTGTCTTCCCAGACATTTGCTCCTCTCTGCGATTTTGGGACACACTCTCTTTTGATTTTCCTCCTTCCTATTTGGCTGTTCCTCTTCCATCTCCATAGCTGAGCATTTATTAAGTGCCTATTATGTGTCAAGGGCTGTCCTAGAAGCTAGGGATGCAAAGAAAAAGAAAAAAAGAACAGCCCCATACCCTCAAAGAGTCTGCAGTCTATTAGAGAAGACAACAGGCACAAGTTGATAAAAAAAAAAAAACCAGTACAATGCAGTTCTGGGGGTGAGCACTAGCAAGATGGAGATAAAAAAAACTTTCATGGAGAAGGTGACACATGAGGCAAATTTTGAAGGAAATGGGGATTTTAAGAGTCAGAAGTGAGGCAAGAGTGCATTTTAGGCATTGGATAGAATCATTACAAAGGTCCAGAGATGGGATATGGAGTCAGGCATGAGGGACAACAAGGAATCGAGTTTGGCTAGAGCATGAATTAAAGAGTATGGAAAGTGAAGTAATACTGGATAAGATTGGAAAAGGTAGGCTGGGGGCATTTGTGAAGGGCTTTAAAAGCAAAACAGAGGAATGGATGCTGGAGGTAATGGGTAGTCAAGTCATCAAAATCTTCCATGTTGCTAACTGGGTGTAGTCCAAAGCTCTGTCCTGGGCCCTCTTCTACACTTCCTCTCAAGGTAATCTCATGAAGTTCTATAGATTCAATTATCATCCCTATGCAAATTACTCCCAGATCAATATATCCAGCTCTCACTTTCATCAGCTTTTGTCCCACAATATCGACTGCGTATTGGACATTTCCACTTGGATATTTTGTAGACATTTTAGAGTGTTAGACTGAATAGGTACAAAATAATACTCAACATCTTTCCTCTAAAAGCCAAACTTCTTCCCACCTTCCCTAGCTCTGTTGAAGGCAGTGCTATCCTTCTAGACACTCAGGTTTGCAGCCTAGGAATTACCTTGACGTAGTACTCTTCCTAACCCTCTCCCTTCCATACTCTCATAGCACCTTTATTGCACTACTTTTATGTGTTTAACTATTTAAAAAAGTAAATTATGACAATAATTGCATAGAAAAATCTCTTCTGCCAGATTGTAGGCTTTCTGAGGGGAGGGACTATTAATTTTCCTTTTATGTCTTCCTCAAAACCTTTAACATGCTTTGATAAAATAGGTGCTTAATAAACACTTATTGAATTAATATAGGATGCTAAAATAAATGGTTGAAATGGAAAAAATTAAATCAGACTAATTTGGGATGTTACCCAGAAATGGCAAAATATAGTTGTTTTGCTCAACTCAACCAGTATTTTTAAAATTGAATTCATTCAAACATTTTTTGTGCACAACTTGCATTCCTTGCAAGAATGATGGAAATGCCATGATAATTTTCAACATCACCCCCCCAACAAATAAGGATTTTTTTTATCTTTGAGCTCAAACTTCTGTTTTATCAATATAGCCAAAGAAAAAAATATAAGCAGAAAAACGAAGATTCTCACAGTGGAAAAATAAACTCATTTTTGTTACAGTTAGGGCACACACTTTATCAATGATTTCTGCTATAATGTTTTAAATTCAACATAAACTCAATGACTTGCTTCAAGGTTCCACTGCTCTCTTAATATAAGTTTATATTCAATACAAATACAAAAATAGGACCATTAAGGCAGTAAATAAGGTAAATATGATGTGCCAGTTCTAAGCCATACCAGTTTCTGTTGCTTCTACACTTACTCATAAGCAAATGGTGATGGAAGTAAAGAGAAGATAATATTCAATTAAGAATTAAAAAATAATAATAAGCACAATTACCTATAACACGAGACCACTGAAAAGAATATGATGAGAAAACAGGAGACAGAAAACAAAGGAATGACTTCCTTCACATTTCCTTCGAATTCCTCCTGTCTGGATAGCGATGTAAAGTAGAACACCTGACATAAAACAGAATCAGGCAAATTACATTTTTTTTATCTGTACATAAATTTTAAAGGGCGAAATACAACAGTTTACAATTTATAACATGTAAAAATTATAGGAGAAATTTAAATATACAGATTCTATTTTTTGCTACAGAAAAAATGAAAATTTGCTGGCACCATCCTCTTCTCCCACATTCCCCACTGAGTCACAACCACCTTTGCTTTAGAGAAGAAGTGGCAGAAGCAGCTAGGTGGTACAGTGGATAGAACACTGGCCCCGGATTCAGGAGGACCTGAGTTCAAATCCAGCCTCAGACACATGACACTTACTAGCTGTGTGACCCTGTGTAAGTCACTTAACCCCATTGCCTAGCCCCCCCCAAAATGGCTATTACCTCAAGGTTGCATTTCCAAAGGCAATTTTGCATCAAGAAAAATGAGGAAAATGGATATTTCCAACATCAATAATGTAATATCAATGAAGGGGGCAGCTTTTTGTTGCTCCCAATTCTAAATGCTTCCATACCTTCTCTGTTTAACACACTCAAGAGCCTAGTGCCCCTATTTGACTTTGATGATGAGCCTAGACAGGTCTTTAGGCAGCTTTGGTTTGAGACTACTGCAGGGAACTCAGAAAAACACCCAGCCCGCATGAAGCCACTGACTTCATCAGACGGAAACTCTCATTTAAAAGCATTTTCGGAAAGCATAGCGGCCTAGTCGATAGTGAGCTGGACTGGAACCCAGCAAGACCTGAATTCAAGTATTGCCTCTGACATACATTGGTTGTGTGACCCTGGGCAAGTCACCTAACCTCTCTCAGTGCCCTGAGCAACTCTCTAAGGCCCTAGAACAAGGAAATCCCACGTTCCCTCCCTAGCCTTGCCTCCCCATCTCCAGCCGCACGCTCCTGTAGGTACCTCCAAGTTTTCCAGCCGCAGGTCCTGCAGCATCAACGGGAAGTCCCGGAGGAAAGCGCTCAGCCATTCGCGGCTCAGTTCACCGTCGGGTGCTGCGTCTTCGCGCAGGTAGTATATCAGCTTCAGAGCCTTAGCCTTCTCCAGATTCCTGCTGGGGCTTATCCCGGACCCCAGTTCCACGCCCCCAACCAGGTTGCCCAGAAAGACCGAGGTAGTGCTATTTACCACCAGGACGGGGAAAGTAAGGTTCGTGGACACAGGCTGAAATTCCAGAAGCGGGTTGGGGAGGCTGCAGCCATCGAGCGTCTGGGCGCACAGGCTTTCGTAGGTGAAGGAAACCCCTTCGGCGTCCTTTATACTTAGGTTCCTCACGTTGGCGTCCAGCAACCTGACCTCGTCCCAAGCCGGTGTTGTCAGCAACGAGTCCGAGGTAGAGACTACCAGGAGCGAGGCGAACGAGCCCTCTGTTGTGAGCCTGGACGCCGAAAAGCTACCCGAGTCGTTGGTAGGAAAATACTCCTGGGCCAGGCTCCTCTCTCCCTTCGCCGGGCCCCCAACAGGCGTGAATTGCTCCTCAATATCGTCCGTTTTGAGCTTCTGCAGGAACATAAAGCCACTTCCCAGGCCGGCCGACAGCAACACCGGCAGCAGCAGAAAAACCCAGGGGTACTTGCCCACTAAGCGCCCCAATTTGCGGAATAGCCGGGACAGGGGGGCCTCGATGCAGTTGGTGTGGCACTGGGGTCCCCTGACCTGGGAGGCGCGGTCTCGCTTCTTGCTGCAAGTGACCAGCTTGTCTACCTCTTTCCATAAAAGAGATTCAGGCTCAGGCGGTGGAAACCGTGGACGATGTTCAGAGGGTGACTTCTGGCCATTCTGAATCATCGTAGGAATCGGACTGACTATGTGCATATTGAGCCGCCAGATAGCAGACAGGCGGCAGCCTCTCTGCCTGCTGCTCCCGGGAGAAATCAAAGGCAGCGCTGCCGGGGGGAGCCGCACAGACCCTTCCAGTCACTCGCTAAAAGTAGTCTGACTTCTCTACCCGCAAGTCCTCCAGGCCCTGCAGGTTCCGTGGAAATCACAACCAAGCCCAGCCTTCACTACAGGCGCGGGAGAGGCGGGGAAGTGAGACTCTGAGGACTTCTTCCCCGTCTCAGTTTGACTCTTGTCACAACCCCGGTGAGCATCGAGACCTTGGACTGGCTGGAACAATACTTCTGGAGGGATTCTTGGGAGGGGGAGAGGGGAAATCTCAGGGGGTGAGACAACCTAGTTAGGAGATTCTTTCCACTCCCATGTGGAACTCTAAGCAAAAGGGTCCGTACCAAGAGGCTTGAACAACAAGCATGCCGGCAGAGGCTTTCAGGTGTTTGTAGAGATTAATGCTCTAGCAATGTAGAAAAGCCATCTGGTCACTGAAGGGGCGTTTAAGGCTTACCCACTTTTGTAGATAGGGGCCATCAGTAGGATTTCCTAACGATATGAAGGATGACAATATGGCCCGCTCCGAATCATTCAAACTAATGAAAGGAAGATTTTTTTTTATGGCTTTAAGTGGCATTTCCCCCATCACATTTCTTTTCATATACCTGACTTGGACTAATGCAGAAAAGAGCCCAGATGAGGAGCGGTTGTAGGAAGAAGCCCACTTAGGATTTAAAACGTGCTGTGGATATACAAAGCACAGGCCACCCCTCAACATCCCATCAAAACTTTGCATTACCTACTGTCTTTTGCTTATCTCAGGTGGACAAAATTAAGAGTTGCTTATACAGTATTGATGCAAAATTGGTAGAATTGAATCTGGAGAGGTGGAGTCTCTGTAAGGTGAAGCCTTCTTTTATGCAGTCTCAAACTCTCACTGGCCTTTGATCTGGATCTGTTAGCACCATCTAAATTTTAATCTTGTAAATTCCATGTCTCTGGGATTTAAATAATGCCTGAGAGAGTTAGAATAAGAACAATTTACATTTTCAAGGTTTCCCAAATATTTTCCTTGCAAAAATCCTATGAAATTATTTTATTAAAAAAGCAAACATTTTATTCTCATTTTACAGATGAAGAAACCAAGGTTCTGAAAATTCTAATGACTAGTCCACAGATCACATAGTTCAAAAAAAATGTCCAAGGTAGGATTCAAAGGCAAATTCCACTTACATCATTTTACAGGCTATATGATTCTGCCTCTTTGGAATACTTGCCCACTACCAGCTGGAGGAGGCTAGAGAAGGCTAAGGCTCTGAATCAGGCTATGATTCTATTTTGGGATCTTGGGCAATGGACTTGCCATGTGATATCAGGCATTATAATTATCCATCTCAGTCCTCTGCTAGACAGTAAGCTTCATGATGAAAACAAAAAACTCTTCTACCTCAATCTCCAATCTAGTGTAAAGCTTTACTAAACATATGTGGCTATAGATCTAAGCATCATCAACATAGAGATGATAATTGAATTTATGAGAAGAGGGGAAATATTTCAGAAAATGTCAAGTTCTTATAGAATTGGGGATCTCAATTTTGTTGAATGAAAAGGCAGGATGCCAATCTCTTGTAGGAAAAAAAAGGGGATTCCAGAATCCAACCTTATATTAAGAGAAGGCAGCAACAGCTTCTTAATAACCACAATAGTAATGACATTAACAGTAATAGATAATATTTACAGAACATGTTAAAGGCTGCAGAACATTTTATATATTTTTTCAAGAAGAAAATATTGCAAGCAGCCAGAAAAAAAAACCATTCTAATACTATCGAGCTGGTCAGGATCTCACAAGAATTAGCAGCTACCATGCTAAGAAAACAGGAGGCTTAGAATATGACATTCTAGAAGGCAAAGGAACTAGGATTACAACCAGGAATAACCTATCCAGCAAAACTGTGTACAATCCTTCAGAGGAAAAATGGACATGGCAAAAAGACCAGAGATGAATAGAAAACTTGACTTCAAAATACAAGACACAAGAGAAGTCTAAGAGAAATCATAAATGATTCAATAAGGTTAAACTGTTTACATTTCTTTATAGGAAGATGAACCTTATCATTAGGGCAGTTAAAAGGACTCTACATAGACGAGAGGGTATGAGAGTAAGTCAATCATGCTGGAATGATCTCCAAAAATGGATGAGCAGGAAAGAGGGATGCACTGGGATAAGGGGAAAAGGAGAGGAAGAATGGGAGAAATTATTTCACATAAAAGAAGCATGAAAGGAAGAATTTTTATAGCAGAGGGGAAAATGGGGGATATGGGTAATACTTGAAACTTATTCTCATCTGAATAGGCTTAAAGATGTAGCTATAGATACATACACACACACACACACACACACACACACACACACATATATATACATATATATATACATATACATAAATGTGCATATACACACACACACACTCAATTGGGTATAGAAGTTTATCTTACCCAACAAAGAAGTAGGAGTTGAAGGGAATAAGAGAAAAGTGCGGGGAGGAGAGTGATTTAAAAAAGAGAGCAAATAAAGGAAGACAGTAGTCAGAAGCAAAACCTTAGGATAAAGAGAGGGAGGAGGATAAAGAGAGGGAGGAGGATAAACAAAAGAAAATATAATAGAGGTAAATGAAACATAGTAACCATAACTGTGAATGTGAATGGGATAAATTCATCAATAAAATGGAAGTGGATAGCAAAATTGATTCAATACAAGAATCAACAATATCAGAATCTAACAATATACAAGAAACACTTGAAGCAGAAAAATACACACAGTTAAAATAGGGACTGGAGCAGAATCTGTCGTGCATCAGCTAAAGTAAAAAAAAAAGCAAGGGTAGCAATCATGATCTCAGAAAAGCAAAAGCAAAAATGATGTAATTAAAAGAGATAAGCAGGAAATCTACACCTTGCTAAAAGGCACCATAGACATTTAAGTAATATCAATATTAAACATATATGCACCAAATGGCTTAGCATCCAAATTCTTAAAGGAAAAGTTAAATGAGTTATAAAAGACTATAGACAGTAAAATTGTGGTAGTGGGGAATGTCACCTTCCCCCCTCACAGAGCTAGGCAAACCTACAATAAAATAAATAAGAAAGAAATTAAGGAGATTAACTGAATTTTAGAAAAATTAGTTATAATGGACCTTTGGAGAAAATTGAATGGGAATAGAAAGAAGCATAACTTTTCTCAGCTGTATATGGCATCTGGACCAAAACTGACCATGTATTAGGGTATAAAAACCTCACAAACTAAGGCAGAAAAGCAAATAAAATAAAACAAAATAAATGCACCCTTTTCAGATTATAATGCAATAAAAGTTACATTCAATAAAGGGCCAGGAAAGCATAGATTAAAATTGATTAGGAACTAATAATCTAATCCTAAAGACTGAGTGGGTCAAAGAATAACAAATCATAGAAACAATCAATAATTTCATTAAAAAGAATGACAAAAACGAGACAAAGAAAAATTTGTGAAATGCAGCCAAAGCAGTACTTAGAGGAAATTTTATATCTTTAAATGCACACATCAGTAAAAGACAGAAAGAGTAGATCAATGAATTGTGCGGGTAAATTAAAAAAAAAACAGAAAAAGAACAAATTTTAAATCCCCAATTAAACACCAAAATGGAAATCCTGAACTTCAAAGGAGGGATTAATAAAATTGAAAGCAAGAAAATCATTAAACTAATAAATAAAACTAGGAACTGTTTTTTAATTAAAAAAATTATAAAATAGATAAACCACTGGTTAATTTGATTTTTAAAAAAAAACCAAATTACTAGTATTAAAAATGGAAAGAGTAAATGCACCACCAATAAAGATGAAATTAAAGTAATTACAATCTAAGTGAAATGGATGCATATTTACAAAAATACAAATTGCCCAGATTAACAGAAAAGGAAATAGAATATTTAAATAACCTTAGCTTAGTAAAAGAAATTAAACAAGCTATAAGTGAGCTGCTTAAGAGAAAAAAAAATCTCAAGGATCAGAGGGATTTACAAGTGAATTCTGCCAAATGTTTGAGGAACAATTAATTCCAATACCATATAAACTATTTGGAAAAAATAGATAAAGGAGTCCTACCAAGTTGTTTTTATGACACAAGTTTTGGTTCCTAAACCAGGGAGAGCAAAAACAGAAAAAGAAAATTACAGGTCAATTTCCCTAGTAAATATTGATGCAAAAAAAATTTAAATAAAATACTAGCAAAGAGATTACAACAATATATCACAAAAATCATATACTATGACCAGGTGGGATTTATACCAAGAATGCCGGACTGCTTCAATATTAGGAAAACTATCAGCATAATTGACCATATCAATATCAAAAAAAAAATCATAGGATTATGTCAATAGATGTAGAAAAAGCTCTTGACAGAATACAACTATTCCTATTAAAAACACTAGAAAGCATAGAAATCAATGGAGACTTTCTTAAAAGGAAAAGTTTGTTGTTCAGTCATTTCTGACTCTATGTGGTCCCATCTGAGATTTTCTTGGCAAAGGTACTGGAGTGGCTTGCCATTTTCTTCTCCAACTCCTTTTACAGATGAGGAAACTAAGGCAAATAGGGTTAAGTGACTTGCCAAGGATCAAAGACATAGTAAGTGTCTAAAGCGGATTTGAACTCAGATCTTCCTGATTGCAGGCCCACTGCTTTATCAACTGTGCCAACTAATTGCCCCCCAAAAAATGTTAATTAGTAACTCTCTAAAACCAAGAGCAGGCATTGTCTGTAATGGACATAACCCAAAAGTCTTACAAATAAGATCAGAGGGGAAACAAGGATGTCCATTATTTCTACTATTATTCAATATTGTATTTAAAATGCTAGCTATAGCAATAAAAGAAGAAAAAGAAATTAAAATAATAAAAATAGGCAATGAGGAAACA